AAAGTACATTATTATTTTTTTCTGGACTAAAGGTATGTAATATGTTTTCCTATTTATTTGAAAAGTTTCAGAAAAGTAGTTAACCGATATCATGTAATTTGTGACAAAGAAAATCGAAATATATGAATACATATATTTGATACAGGAACAAAAAAATAATTGAAAAAAATATAAAAAGGCGAAAGAAGGTACTGACCTTCTAGTGCACAACAATGAAGGTTTGAAGTAGAGAATGATTATGAAAGTTATAAGCAATAAGAATGATGTTGTAGGAGAAGGTTTGAAGAAAAGCAACGATTGAAAATAAGTGTGAGCCGCGGATTCAGAGATGAATCATATATGTATGTGATAATTTGAATATGATTTTTTGATATTAATGGTTTCCTAATAAAAATGGATTTTATATTAATGGTTTACTAATATAAACGGATTTATATTAATGGTTGATATTTAATGCCTTAATTGAAAGGATTTTTAGTAATATGTTTTTAAAGTTGACTATTTTAAAACCTTGATAACGGAAAATTCAAGATTTAAAATTTGGGAATCTTTTATTAGAATTAAATACAATCCATTTCAATGGATTTAAGTTAATTTTGTGGAAAACTCTTATTGGAATTAAATACATTCCATTTTGAGAGGATGATGTTAGCAATCTAAGGGTGGAAAACATAGGATTGAAATACAATCAAGGATCCGAATTGTTTAAGATGATGTGATAAGATTTTTATTTTAATATATACTAAAGATAACATAAGTACCCTTCCAGGTACAGTATAGTGAAAAGATAACATAATTAGCAATCTAATTATTAGTATGCTTATTTAATGACTTTTTTTAAAAAAGAAAAAACTAAACGGGTTTGAATTTGAAGCGAAAAGCTATAAATAAAGGAGTTAAATTGTGGACAATATTAATTAGGGTTAATGATGGCATAGATTGTCAAAAGATGTCTTAAAGGAGATGCATGCTTCAGTTTGTAGAGATTTGTATGAAGCCAAAACAGAGGTGTGATAATTAAAGATGCAAGGAAGAGGCAATACGCAAATTCTAAGAATACATGAGCAAAAAGGAACCACCTTATGGTGCTACATTCTGTTATGAACACACAAAGCATCAATTGAAGCACAACCATTGACATGAGGACAAAGAGTATTAGAGAATTATGGTTTAAGAGAGAAAAATAGAGGAGAAAGATGGGGCGGCTATTCATGTTTTTTGGCCAGATTTATGGAGAAACTGATATCGTATATATAAATAGAATGATATGCTTTAATCGATAACATAATTGCTGATTTTAAAGATTCTATAATTAAATGTAACTGTGCTCGAATTGTGAAATATATTTTAGAAAGTATGGATAGATTCTATAATTAAAGTTTTATAATTAAATATAATTATGTTTGAAATGTAATTGCTAAATTTAAAGATTTTATAATTAAATGTTTGAATTATATTTTGGGAAGATGATGTCAGCAAGTTGATCTAAGGCTGGAAATCATATGATGGAAATACAATCAATGACCCTGATTGCTTCATTGATGAAATAAGGGTTCTCTTTTAATAATATTCAGAGATACTAAAAAAATAAAGACCATGTATTTCAAATCAATAGTGTTATTTTGAATTAAATAAACAACCAATCAAGTTTACTTTGTAATGTTAACAATAAAAATTACTTAAAAAAATGCAGCCTTCTAGAATTAACCAAAATATTCCTCTTCCAAGACACACAAAAGTCTACTAAATCTTCTTCTTCAGCCTTAAATGAAACCACAAAAGAATAAAGAAAAGCAAATTGTCTAATCAACATAAAAATACATCACAACAATTTTTTATAAATTAAAGGGATTATTTAATATATGGTTGAGGTGTTCACACTTATTCTTCCTACGAGCATAACACCTAACAATAAACCATTAAGCCTATAGATTGTGATCATTAACTCTTAGAACACAATTAAAAAATGCAAAGTATAGTCTGAAAAAAATATAATATAAAAAAATAAAATATAAATCCACATCATGAAATGGATATTGATTTTTATGTAATAATGGAAAGAAGAACTGAAAAGCTTACTTGTGGTAAATGGTATTATCTTGATTGTACTTCCTAGCCAATGCCATCAAAAGAGGGTTTAATTAGTGCCAGCATGTAGCTAAGGCTCAAAATATTCTACAAAAATCTAAAAGACTAAAACTATCATTTTCAAAACAAACTAAAAAATAAACCTTTAAAAACCTTTTAGAGTCAATTAAATCACCTGAATGTCGTATCCAATTCCAATATAATATGTTGACTATCAAATAAAGAATGTCTAGGCAAGAAATTCAGGAGGTAGGGCCCTTTCAGTTTAAAACCTTTCAGAAAATCCAACAACCAAGATGAATTTGACTATTCTGACACCGCTCTCGTAAGTAAAATTACTTGTATTATTGATAGCTTATTTTATTTCCTTATTTTTATTAGTTTATTTTAGTATTTTAGCTCTTTTTATTAGTATTGCATTGTATATTCTTTATTTTTCTTTATCATGGATCGTATCGGGGACTTTCTATTTTGCATTAGAAATTTTGTAGGGTTTTGGAGCTTGTTGCGGTTGTGGATTAACTTGGAATGGGTTTGTGGGCTTCCGAGGCATTATTGGGCTTTGCGGATCCATTAAAGGAGATTTGGGCTTAAAAAGCTAAAGACTTGGATGAAGTGGGCTTATGAAGATGGGTCATGGATTGTTATTTTGGGCTTGGAGCATCCGTATTTGAAGCTAAAAGACGATTGGTAAATGTGAATCATGTGGGATATGGAGGGGACCAAGGGAATCTTGGGTAGTGGGATGGTTAGTGGAGGAAAAATGAGCCAATAACATTCCAGCAATATTTGCGCGGGTGGGTTCTCACGTGCGCAGGTACCCGCACAACTGCCCAGTTTTGGGCATTTTGGTCATTTGGCTTACCATTTACTTTGGGGTTTGGATCTTTCAGTCATCACTTCGATTTTCCACCATTAGAGACCAGAGGAGGAAATTTTGGGAGCTTGGATACACATTCTTCTTATCTTCCAAAGTAATTGTTAGTTTCTTAATGCAATTAGACTTTTGTGATTGTTATTCTAGTGCCATGAGTGGCTAAATTCTCTATTTTGGTTAACTTTGGCTAAAACCTTTGAATGTTTGTGGGTTTTTGAAGGATTCATGCTTATATATCATTTATCTTATGTTTATGATTGTGGTTCATATTTCTTATGCTTGTTTAATACTTTGATCATGAGCTTGGTACTTGAATAAGCAATTGTTAGTTTATTTCTTTGGTTTAGCATTGAATCATTGAATTTACTTAGAACAAGAGCTTTATGATGGTAGAAATCATCTCTAGCTTATGAATCATAGCTCCTTTATGGATGTGTAAGCATTGACATCCTCTAGGAATTGGGGGTTCCTTCATTCTTAAGGCTAATTAACTTCTTGGGTTCAATTGCTTCAATTGGATCTTTGATTTTGATTAAGAAGGTGTGTTGTGGGCTTCCTCAACCTCCATACTACCTATGAGGAATCTTGGCATATCATGCTTCATGATTGCTATAACCAATTTGGGATTAATGATAAGCTTCATATTGAATCCTAATGATAAACACACAAATGTTCATTGTGTTGAATTGCCTTAGTTAACAAATTCTCTCCAATATTTGAGCATCTCGCCATCTTGCTTAATTGCAAGCTTTTTAGTTATTCAAGTCTTTTAGTTTTCAAGCAATCACAACACCCCCCTTTTAGTTTAATTGTAGTTAGTTTATTTACACTAGTTTTATTGGATTGCATTGGTGATTGAATACGACCATTTCCCTGACGATCGATACCCCCTTTTACCATTATATTACGTTTTATTTGCAAACAAAGGGTGTAATTTCCTTGGTGGACTTGACATCCCACCAAGTTTTGGCGTCGTTGTCGGGAAAATTGGTTATTGTTATTTGATTGTTTATGCCAAGGTCTACAAGAACCGGTGAACTACTCTACAATCCGGAAATTGAAAAAGAAGCAAAAAGATTGAAAAAGTTAGCCAAACAAGCAAAGCAACAACAACTCGTTCAAGCTTCTTCCTCTTCTCCACTAATCAACATAGAAGATCAAGTTCATACTTCAAGTGATACTGATACCAAGCCAAGTTCATACTTCAAGTGATACTGATACCAAGCCTACTTCTTCAACAATTTTATGAGGGTATGAATGAAAAATATCGAAGGATGATTGATGCTTCAAGTGGTGGTGACATCTTCAACAAGACACCTCAAGAGATAAGATCACTTTTTGGAACTATTTCTCAAACTCAAAGGAACTTTGGGACTCGAAATGAAATGAAGAGAAATTCTCCACAAGTGGTTGGTGAAGTTAGCAACACACAACAATTGGAATCGAAGCTCTTGGATTTGACTAATGTGTTAAGTCAAATGGTGGTGGGAAGTGGTAAACAATTAATGGTGTGTGGTATTTGTGCAATGGCAGGGCATTATACGGATAAGTGTCCCTCACTTGGTAGTGAACCAGAGGATGTTAATGCAATGGGAGGATATCAAGGTCAACCAAGACCTATGGGCTTTCAAAACACCTACAACCCAAATTGGAGGAATAACCCACCCAACCCATACCCACCAAAGCAAAACCCACCACATGTTATGATGAGACCCTAATTTTCTCAATACCCGTCACAAAAACCTCCATATCCCCAAACATCTAATCTTACTCCAAATTACCAACAACCTCCATAACAAGGCCAATCAAGTGGTAACCACCAAATGAGCCTTCAAGAACTTGTCACTTCTCTTGCTCAAAGCCAAACCCAATTTCAACAAGAGACCAAGAACACTTTCTCCAACATTCAAGCACAAATTGGAGATTTGGCCACCGCACTCAACAAGATGGAACAACATTCCGAGCCAAAACCAAAACCGCAACTCACCCAATACCACCTCACCGCCTGCTGCTACCGTTGGCGCTTCCCTGCCCCCTAACCCCCATCCAATTCCGACCAAACAACACCACTTCTCCACCGGGAACAGCTAGCTCCGCCGCCACCCTCTAACTCGCCGAAAAATCGGAAAACCTTCATTCCACCACCACCTTCAATCAAAATTAAAAATTTCTTGGGGCATTCTTCACCAAATACTTCCGGGCACACCGATCTATAGTATATTTGGCCAAATTTTCTCGTCGGAAAACCTAGCTCCTCCACCGGCCACCGCCTGCCGCCAGCTGCCGCCACTAATTTTGACCAAAATTTTCAAAATTTTTGTTTCTCACCGGAGATTCAAAAGACTTAATTTTGCGGGTCCAATTCAAGCTTGGGGTGCGGTTTTTGCGGATTTCTTTTCGGATTTCGACACTCGAATTTGGTACATTCCTTTTAATTTTATTGCATTTAATTTCTAATTGGACTATCCTTATGTTATGCATTAGGTTAATTAGAATTGATTTGCTTTTATTTGATTGGATTACATTGTATTGAATTGTGCCAAATTGCAAGTTTGGAGTATTTGCCCGATTTTTATTTTTATTTTTGTTGGATTGATTGGATTGATGTGAGGTGAGTGTGAGGGATAATTTTGGCCAAATTTTTGTTTTTGTTAGGAGTTATTTATAGGTACAATGGGCAAAATCAAAACCATTCATGCAACTCATGGTTCTTCCCGTGAAGGTCAATCATCATAATCAACCAAAAAAATGTCCACCGACCATGTCGATCGTCATGGCAAGCTTGCCCTCACTAGTGCACAAATCAAGCAATTCAAGTCCAACCTCCAAAAACGTTCGATCCGAGCCACAAAATTTTACCACGTTGGCAACAACTGTTCTTCAAGAAGGTGGAGTCGATGATCCACCTTGGCCTTGACGATTGCTTGCAACAACTGTTCTTCAACATATGTTGGCAATATTTCCTAGATCTCTCCGCGCGTACATACACGCAACCCACACTTGAGTTCCTCTCCACTTATGCACGAAATGACATGGACGAGGTGCTCACATTTAGACTCCAGGGTCGGCAGCACCGACTCATATACGACACCCTCAACACTATCATGGGCACATACGATATGCACAACACCGACATCTATAGTTATCAATGGACTCGATTCAAGAGCAGGCCCAAAGTAGAGTTTTGGACTCAGATCACCAGTCTTCCAAACTTCAATCCAAGTCGACAAAAAAATCCTTACATCATCCACCCTTGTTGGCGAATCACTCACCGGATCCTTTCAACTTCAATCTTTGGTCGTCACGACCCGGGACAAATCAACACAGTCGAGCTATATTTCCTCTATTGCATGACTAGCAACCGTTGGTCATGCCCCGGTTTCGCCACCTTTTTCTTGGATAAATGTGACAACATACGCACGAAGACCACTGGCAACATTTGCATTGGAGGTCTCATTACCCTCATTGGTATGGGTATGGGCCTTCAATTTCCCGAGTCTGAGTTTGTGCCAGTGGATGACCCACCTCTCCATCTCCTCGACTGCTTCGCTCTCACCTGGATGGAATTATTGGTACCTATCAACAATCTTCAGTACTCTTGGCTCAATCATGCCAAGGAATCAGTTTACACCTTACCTAATATCAGCATATCCACCTTTACCACCAACGACCCCAAAACCTGATTCTTTCCCGAAGAGTTACATGATGATGATGCCGGCGATGCTGATGACATGCAGGTAGACACTGGCCATGTTGGTAGCCCATTTGAGGTTGAAGACCATTATGACCTCCCAATCTGACAATTGCCGCCACCCTCTTATGCTCAGCCTTCGGGAGCACACTTCGAACCACAACATGAGTACCAGTCCTATCAACAACACAACGAGCCCGATCCCAAACCCCAGTATCCTCTTGATATATACGCTCAGCTTGCCGCCTTGCGCCTCCAGGGCAACCGAAACATAGCAGCCATTCGGCGCATCGAGGAGTAGCAAGCTCGCACCAACAACTACATGGAGGATCTTTGGCATCATTTTCAGCCCGAAGGCGGTTACCGTCCTCGCGGGCCTCCTCCACCTTGATCCAAGTATGATCCTTCCTTACTCTCATCCTAAGCATTAAGGACAATGCTTAATTTTAAGCTTGGGGTGAGGTATTCTTTATATTTTATTTTTTTATTGCATTTAGGTTGTATATAGTTGCATTTAGAGTAAGTCATTTAGTTCATTCATAAAAATTGCATAAAAAAATTTCAAAAATATTGCATATTTTGTTTCCTTCTTTTCCAATTTTCATACTTTTTAGATGCATTCTAGTTTAAGTTCATGCATTTTTGTTCTCTCTTGTATTCTCATCCCTACAGGTACCATAGCGCCGAGTCATAAGTATTGAATCATATATTGGTCTCGGGTCTTGATATGGAATTCCTTATATTGGATAAATGGGACACGTTTTGAGCCTCACAGACCACTTTGAGACCGCTTGTGTGGCAGTCAAATGCATGTAGCTTGATTGGGTCTAAGTGCGGAGGGATGTGGTTGGTCAAACCGATGTGTGCGAGCAAATATTAGCCCGGTATGGTATTTTGAAGACATTGAAGACTCGCATCTTGGTTTTGGGGGGAATACCCCTTAGTACTCCCGAGTCTCGTCCGAGCCTTGCTTAGTTAGATTCTCACCACCTTTTTAAGATAGGTCATCATTTTTCTAGGGGTCTAGCGTAGATAGTTAAATAAATTATGTTTATCACACCTTGCATTGAGGTGCTTGATGAACTTTGCAGTGGGTCCCCCAATTCACATCTTTTTGGACCAAGTTTTTTTTTTGGTAACATCCATTTTTGAGTCATATCCCACCCTTTTTAGTTGATCTTGGCACATTGTCAATGATCATTAGGTGTTCATGTTAGCCTCCATCTTATGTTACATGGTGAAATTCCTTAGACCTTCCAAGAAGAAAACACAAAAAAATGAAGAAATTGGAAAAGTGAAGACAAAAAGAAACAATGAAGAAGATTAAAGAAAAACAACAAAAACAAAGAAGAAAAATGAAGAAAAAGAGCAACACAAAAAGAAGAACAAGAATCCAAGTTCAAGACTTTCTTTCTTTCAAAAAAAAAAGATCAAGCTTCAAAGAGGCTGAAGACCAAATAACAGAAGTTCAAGATTGAAGATTTAAGTTGTTAGGTTTAGGTTTAGGTTAAGTAGATTTTTCTTATGTTATTTTATTTTTGATTTTGGTGAGAAAAGGCTATGACGATGAGACGGTAAACTGTAAAGGACAGTACAAGGGAGAAGCCTCTAAAACCGGATGTTTGCCCGGAGGCCGCGCTGTAAAACCCTATTTCGTACTATACACTTTAGCATGACAAATGTAGGAATCATAGTGTGTGAAGAGACGCCTTTACTTCGTGCACTATGGTCTACATTGGTGATTTAAAGTGCCCCCACTGGGCGCATCCTCTGTTTCCTTTTTCTTGCACACTGCGACTACATCCAACCATGATCTATTCGCCCATCGAGTGATTGAGAATGTGGTATATGGTTCTAAAGCGGGGAACATTTCGAAGATGCATAGGGTCCATGAAAGACTGATTCTGACCATGTTGACCGATGTTGACCAAGTTCTATGGTATCTTTCTTTTTCCTTTTTATTTTAGCTCATCCCGAGCTCATTTTAGTCTTGTTCTAATTTGAGGACAAGTTAGGTATTGATTAATTTCCCATAAGTTGTGTAGAGATGTCGACAATGTGTCGTTATCCCCCGGTTTTGAAGATAGGTGATGGCTGGTTTGGCAGTGCAAGATGAAGGGGATTAAGGAAGCAATGGGAGTCTCAACGACGGGAAAGGTTAATTTCTATTGGAGTGAATATGGGTCACATAATTTAAATTAGTGAAAAGAAATATAAAAAGGTATAAAATAAATTAAAATGAGTATTAATGTTATTTTACAAGCATCAAGGTCCAACTGCGATAAGAAAGAAATTAAAACCATAAAGACTAAACACATAGCATTTCTATAGTCATCATCATTGATAGCTTATTTTATTTCCTTATTTTTATTAGTTTATTATAGTATTTTTAGCTCTTTTTATTAGTATTGCATTGTATATTCTTTATTTTTCTTTATCCTGGATCGTATCAGACTTTCTATTTTACATGAGAAATTTTGTAGGGTTTTGGAGCTTGTTGCGATTGTGGATTAACTTGGAATGGGCTTTGTGGGCTTTCGAGGCATTATTGGGCTTTGCAGATCCATTAAAGGAGATTTGGGCTTAAAAAGCTAAAGACTTGGATGAAGTGGGCTTGTGAAGATGGGTCATGGATTGTTATTTTGGGCTTGGAGCATCCGTATTTGTCAGACCAGAGGAGGCGATTTTGGGAGCTTGGATACACATTCTTCTTATCTTCCAAAGTAATTGTTAGTTTCTTCATGCAATTAGACTTTTGTGATTGTTATTCTAGTGCCATGAGTGGCTAAATTCTCTATTTTGGTTAACTTTGGCTAAAACCTTTGAATATTTGTGGGTTTTTGAAGGATTCATGCTTATTTATCACTTATCTTATGTTTATGATTCTAGTTCATATTTCCTATGCTTGTTTAATACTTTGATCCTGAGCTTGGTACTTGAATGTGAAATTATTAGTTTATTTCTTTGGTTTAGCATTGAATCATTGAATTTACTTAGAACAAGAGCTTTATGATGGTAGAAATCATCTCTAGCTTATGAATCATAGCTCCTTTATGGATGTGTAAGCATTGACATCCTCTAGGAATTGGAGATTCCTTCATTCTTAAGGCTAATTAACTTCTTGGGTGTAACAACGTGATTTTTCAAAACAATTTTTAATTTTTAAATCATACTTTCAATCACACGATAGTCATAAAACATAATGTATTCACTGTGTCATAACAAAACATGTCCCAGAATCTCAATAACATAAACTCCGTAAGTGTGTACGAATCATGTCGTCGCCTTGCCGCGATCCTCGCTAGTACCTGAAACACATATCATAACAACTGTAAGCATAAATGCTTAGTGAGTTCCCCAAAATACCACATACCATACATATGCCTTTCCAGGCCATAGCTCTGTAGGATCTTCCGATCCATGTGTCTCAGGGACTTCCGTCCCAAATCCCAGTAGACCTTCCGGTCCGTAACCACTTGACCTTCCGGTCCGTAACCACTTGACCTTCCGGTCCATATCATCTTGACCTTTCGGTCCTTATCGTACATAACATACATAACACATACATATCACATAACAACATACAGCTCATACATCTCATAGCATATAAGACCTTCCGATCACACATAGGTACCCTTCCAGGTACAGTATAGTGAGAAGACTCACCTCAATGAAGTCGGATAAACTCTCGTGCTCAACGTCCCGACTTAGCCTCCTCCTATTATTCAAATAGCATCCCCGATCAATATTCTCTCATGATCTCATCTCTACAGATTGGGTAGAAGGCCATTCTACCCTTCCCTGAACTCTCCTGAATCAGTCTTGACCAGAACCCTAAAGTCAACGGTCAAACTTTGACCCGACTCGTCGAGTGCACAAGGGCGACTCGGTGAGTCCATGCGGGTCCTCTGAATCCTTTCAGCCTCTCTTGGCTCGTCGAGTCATCCTTCCACTCGACGCGTTACACCTGTCACGAATCGCGGGGCAACCCCGACTCGACTCGTCGAGTCCACTTATGGACTCGGCGAGTTGCTCCCATAACAACTCTCAAATGACCTTCTGAGGTCAGATCTGCTTCTCTAAATTATAGATCTAGCCTTCAAGTGCTCAATGGTCACGTAAAGGTGCAACCTTTACGTGCATGCTACCCACATCAAGACATAAATGGAGAAATAGCCCTAAAAATGGCAACCTAGTCTCCAATCCTCCATGAACAAGCTTAAAGCAGAATGGGAAAGGTTCTTTGGACCTCTATG